AATCGGCAGAAATAAAAGCTTGTAAACATCGTCTGTGTCTAATTAATCTACATAATGTTTTACTTATTGAATTTAACTGCTGAAATAAATGGACTTTCAATAAGGAACCAATTAATCGAATTTAATTGTTTATAGTTTTGCTGCTACTTATTTTCTTCAAACAGGAAATTTTAAACAACCATTTTTTATAAAGCCTGACTTTTGCTGACTTAGCTCAGTTTTTCTTCTAAACAGCAAGTAGATGGATATATAATAAGCTACCCATGTTTAAATGACTTAACTCTAAAATGAAAAGCAAAGACATATCTTTTCCTAAATATAGCTAGTCATTTTTACTATTATAGTATAGTACTATACGGACAATATGTGCCAAATGCACATACTGTCTATCTGAACTATAGAGAAGAGATCTGTGCATTTGTTATTCAGATGCTAAAATAGTTCAAACAGAAAAAGGAAGCTTTACTAATATATTTATAAGGTGTTTAATGCTCAAAGTGTTTCAGCTACTGAAGCCTTTGAGGCAGTGATGAACATGCAGCAGGTGAAGCATTATCAGTTTGTTGGCATCTTAATTGTTAACATTATCTGCATTTATTTAAAACATTTTACAAGTATGCTTGTCAAAACAGCTGATGCCAAACGGACACATCTTAAAATAAAATTAAAATTGTTGCCAAACCAACACTATTAAACTCCTTCCTTTTAAGCCGGGCAAACACTGTACAATATTTTCCCCCTTTTTGGGACGATTCTCCAGTTGTGCGAGAATTTTTTCTCGACCGAGCATAGTTTCAACCCCATGGTGCGTCCTGCGCCGTGTAGTATACAGGTGGTGATGAGGGTTGATCAGCCTCTAACGACCACCTTCCAATCAAATTCGTAAGGTCAGGAGAAAATCAAACATGTTTGAAATTAAGTCGGCCGTCGTAAGGTGGCCGTGGGCAAATCCTGCTGTTGAAGCAGAGCTACGAGCCGATGTACCAGAAACTTGAGCACTGCGCATGCGCAAACAAGGAAGTTGTTGTTCTTCCAGATTGAAAAGTCTGACCAGCGCCATCTCTAGGCGCAGCTGAGTATCACGTGTGGTTTTTGGACGTGCAGTCTGAGCAAGTAGTTCGCATCAGAATGTCGGGCCGCACAGTGTGAGAACACGCATTCCATCTACACCAGCCCAATCGGATTACTCCTTGAGTTTTTTCTGTCACAGGTAGGAGCTTTGGCCGGAGCGTAACCGCACACATCAAATGTTGCTTGGGTCTGGTTGCGAACCAGTTTTGCTGGTATGCTTCTGCACCATCGGTCTGGAATTTCTAGGCATGTACAGCAGTTTCCCGCCAAAGCGCTAGGGCTGGGCGATATGGCAAAAATAAAATAACACGATTTTTTTAGATACGACCAATATAACTTCAATTACATGCAAAGAAGAGAAAAATTAAATAAATGAACAAGTTTATTAAAATTAGAGAATCAAAGCAGTGCTAACAAACTTATTTTTTTAATTTCTATATTGTAAACACACTAAAGAGTAGAAAAATGCAATAACTCCTGAGGAGAAACAATTACAAATTAGTTACATTTTTCAAGTAACTACATTCAAAATAAATAAAAATTCTAACTGTATCTTAGTGAAGTTTTGTTACTTTAAAATCTTGACTGGTCTAATAAAGTAAAAGAAAGGGGGCCTTAACTGATTTTTAAACTAACGGACGGACGTCAAACCCTCGGATTATATTCTAGCTGTGAAGTTTTTTTTGGTTGCATGTAAATGTGGTCATTGGTAGAAATACAGCAGAACTGCAGTTCTGTGGATCCTGATAAAACGGTCTCTTAATAATGACAGATCGTCAGAGGAGTAGATCGTAACACGGTCTTAAATTGTCATATCGCCCACCCCTACAAAGCACAAGGGGGAGCCTATTCAAGAACTCTAGAGAACTTCAGCGGCGCCGACGGGAGTCTTTATCTTCCAAAACAACAGTGGAGTCTCCAAGATATCACAATCAGAGAGATGGATCTAGAGTTGCTAGACAACGAAGAGGAACGGGTTCTGTTAATATACCGTATTTTCACGACCATAAGGCGCACCGTACTAAAAGGCGCAGTCTCAGTTATGTGTCCCATTTCTGTATTTAACACACACATAAGGCGCACCGGACTATAGGGCGCATTTTTTATATACAGGTACATGTCCTCTACTACCTTTAAATACCNCAATCTGACTGGATGATCTGGTTAATTGTTTCTGCCTTGAGAAGACATGTTGTAAACCTGCGCTATATAAATTAATTAAATAGAAGTTGTTTTTTTTCCCCTGGTTTGTCTTGTTGGGTTTTGAGCAACCACCATCAGACAACCCAAAGATCCTCAGTCTTCCTTAGTATGAAAATACATCTTTATCGCTCCTGCATAATATCGTAATTTGAAATGTTGAGTTTACATTATTTGACAGAACAAAAATCATCTTAATCGGCAGAAATAAAAGCTTGTAAACATCGTCTGTGTCTAATTAATCTACATAATGTTTTACTTATTGAATTTAACTGCTGAAATAAATGGACTTTCAATAAGGAACCAATTAATCGAATTTCATTGTTTATAGTTTTGCTGCTACTTATTTTCTTCAAACAGGAAATATCATTGAGAGAAATTTTAAACAACCATTTTTTATAAAGCCTGACTTTTGCTGACTTAGCTCAGTTTTTCTTCTAAACAGCAAGTAGATGGATATATAATAAGCTACCCATGTTTAAATGACTTAACTCTAAAATGAAAAGCAAAGACATATCTTTTCCTAAATATAGCTAGTCATTTTTACTATTATAGTATAGTACTATACGGACAATATGTGCCAAATGCACATACTGTCTATCTGAACTATAGAGAAGAGATCTGTGCATTTGTTATTCAGATGCTAAAATAGTTCAAACAGAAAAAGGAAGCTTTACTAATATATTTATAAGGTGTTTAATGCTCAAAGTGTTTCAGCTACTGAAGCCTTTGAGGCAGTGATGAACATGCAGCAGGTGAAGCATTATCAGTTTGTTGGCATCTTAATTGTTAACATTATCTGCATTTATTTAAAACATTTTACAAGTATGCTTGTCAAAACAGCTGATGCCAAACGGACACATCTTAAAATAAAATTAAAATTGTTGCCAAACCAACACTATTAAACTCCTTCCTTTTAAGCCGGGCAAACACTGTACAATATTTTCCCCCTTTTTGGGACGATTCTCCAGTTGTGCGAGAATTTTTTCTCGACCGAGCATAGTTTCAACCCCATGGTGCGTCCTGCGCCGTGTAGTATACAGGTGGTGATGAGGGTTGATCAGCCTCTAACGACCACCTTCCAATCAAATTCGTAAGGTCAGGAGAAAATCAAACATGTTTGAAACTCAGTCGGCCGTCGTAAGGTGGTCGTGGGCAAATCCTGCTGTTGAAACAGAGCTACGAGCCGATGTACCAGAAACTTGAGCACTGTGCAGATTGAAAAGTCTGACCAGCGCCATCTCCAGGCACAGCTGAGTCCAACGTGTGGGTTTTGGACGTGCAGTCTGAGCAAGTGGTTTGCATCAGAGCGCCGGGCCGCACAGTGTGAGAACACGCATTCCATCTACACCGGCCCAATCGGATTACTCCTTGAGCTCCTTGAGTTATTTACCGTCACAGGTAGGAGCTTCGGCCAGAGAGTACTTCTGCAACGGCACACATCAAACGTCGCTTGGGTCTGGGTGTGAACCAGTTTTGCTGGTATGCTTCTGCACCATTGGTCTGGAACTTCTAGGGATGCACAGCAGTTTCCCGCCAAAGCACAATGGGGAGCCTATTCAAGAACTCTAGAGAACTTCAGCGGCGCCGACGGGAGTCTTTCTCTTCCAAGACAACAATGGCGTGTCTCCAAGATATCACAATCAGAGAGATGGATCTAGAGTTGCTAGACAACGAAGAGGAACGGGTTCTGTTAATATAGTTGAAAAAAGGATGGGTACGTTGTCCACTGTAGTTGTTCCTCTTTTTTTTTTTTTTTTTTTAAATGGCGCGCCCCGGCAGCAATTCAAGAAGGACGACCACACAGACAGCCGGAAAGGCGTACCAAGGACGAATCACAGCAGCTTTTTTGTCTGCGCACTTCCGCTTGAGGTCTGCGCAGGTTTGCGACCATCTGAAGCGTAGTCAGAATTTTTTTGAGGTACACGACGCCGGTTGCAGAACCTCTGCGTGGGGGCGTGGTCGCACAAGGAGACAGATTAGACGGTTGCAGAGGCTATCCGCCAGAAGCATAAACTGGCCTTAAGTGTTGGGGCTGGTATGATTTAAGGAGGGCAGGCCCTCGCACGCGGAAATTAGGACCGGCCCACCGCCCGGTACCATAGATTACCAGTCCGAGCCTGTTTGTAGCTGCGTGTGTAAAGATGATAGAAACTGACATTGTTATTATAGTTACAATTGAATGATCTAGAGATCACTGATCCATTGGTTTTCTTCTTCTTAGTTAAAAAGGTCAATGAGATAAAAATTTAACTTTATGAAGAATGCTTTTCTATTCAGACTTTTGTGTTGGGAAGTAACAATATTGTTTGCTGTTTTATTAAGTTTAACTCTCTCTTATTTTAAGTTTTAAGTTCGGATTGAATGATCTGTTTTCGATTGCTAATGCCTCGCCTAGCTTGGGTTTGAATGATATAGAGATCGGTAATCCATTGGTTTTCTTCTTAGTTAAAAAGGTTAAGATAAAAAATAAAACTGTATGTAGAATGCCTTTCTATTCAGTGTTTTTTTGTGTTGGAAAGTAACAATGCTGGTTGCTGTTTTATTAAGTTTAACTCTCTCTTGCTGTAAGTTTTAAGTGGAGATCGATTTATCTGTTTTCGATTGCTAATGCCTCGCCTAGCCTGTGTTTGGAACGTGTGGCATTGGATTTGACTGAGCTACATCGTGTCCGTGTTGTATTTCTATTTTCCCCTTTCACAGGTAAGACTGAGGGTTGTTTTATGTTTAAAAAGTTTATGAAGGCACTCATATTGTTTCGGTAATACGAAGAGTAAACATTGAATCATTAATATTGTCTGTGCACTTTGTAGGCTGAACGTGGTGCTAACTGCTTCATGCTAACTGTGTCGGGCGTAATGCTAAGGGGGATGGATCAAATTATATGTGGTTGCCATTTTTCTCCCATTGTATTTGTTTTAATGGGAAGAACGCCATAAAAGGGCTGTTTAGGAATATTGTTCAGACAATATAAAAGAGGAATTACATTTGTAACAATGTGAACACATGTTTTGCTCTCTTGTTTGCCCATTACAACATTGGATTTAACTGAGCTACATCGTGGCCGTGTTATATTTCTATTTTCCCCTTTTACAGGGTTGTAACACGTGCAACGTTTGAAAATATCGTAGACTGTATGCTTGGCTTTAGAGGGTAGACTGCTCATGATAAGGAATCTATATTTACAATGAAGCCAAGGCAGGAAGAATCACTTCTTCATTATCACAAATAAATTGTTTTCATAACTTTGCTTAATTTTTTGCTGCTCCGCATTAAAACAAAATTAAGTCCTTTTGGGGTAGATATAGTTCAGAACTGTAATGGCCAATTACCCACTTTCCAATTAGGGATCAAGATCTTTAAACCAAGGAGGACTTTCCATCATTTCTTGAGAGGGTTTTGTTCGTGTTGTTTTGGGTTCACCAGGACTATTAAGGATTTTATATCAATCTAGATACAGCATTTCTAGCAGCACTCACCTGGCTTTGGCGCACAGAGCTTTGACTTCATTTTCCTTGATGAGCTGACAGCGTCGCAGCTGCTCTATTTGTCGGTCCAGATCACTGATGTCCCCCATAGTCACACACATAGAGAGCTCCTCACTTTTCTCTCCCACGGATCGTTCAATTGTCGGCTTCTCCACCCCCAAACGCAACCGGGCCAATATCCAGCACGGAGAGGGAGCGGAGATCTCCTCCAGCCACGAACTGGACTGTAAAAAGCTAAGGAGATAAGAAAAAAGAAACTGTTTAAAGGTAACGATAATGTAAAAGCACCACAAGAAGCATTACGTCACTTGTTCTGTAAAGTTAAAGCGGAATCCGGTCTGATTTCTAAAATATAAACTATCGTATCCTAAAAAAAAGAAATTATTTAGAGTGAAAAAGACCAAAAGAGCAAAGAAAAGTGGCGTTGCTTCTTGTGGAATGTGAGGCCTAGAGGCGCAGCTAGCTACGCACCTATGCTAGCTGCTAGCATGTTAGCTTACATCACCACCGATACGTCAGAGAACAAGTGATTCTTTGAGAACCAAGCCAACCATTTTGTTTCGGAATGTGTCTCCAGGGTTAGAAAATGTCCTATATTGTATATCAAACACATTTACGCGCCCTTGGTCTGAGGAATAAATTGAATTATGGACATTTGAGGAGCTAAAAGGCTGTCAGTTAGCAGCCGGTTAACTCAACATTCGGCCAAAGCGCTGGTTAGCTCCGCTAGGCTAATTTACGCAGCAAGACACTTCCGTTAACGCGACACACATCCCCGGCGAACCAATCTCTGCTCAATCTATAAGACTTTAAAGCGTAAATACCGTGATTGTAGAAGTGTGAAATACGATCATCAACGTTGTTCTGAGGGGATGGTTAATTCTCTCACTGTTCGTTCACCGGCTCCTCTCCCTCCCCCGGTACCTTCTTCTCCACCAACCGCTCCACCGTAACTTCCGGTGCGGGGGGCTGGCCGCTGATTGGTCGGCCTGGTTTCCAGCGCCTAATCAGCGACCGTTTATGCTGGAGTCATAGCCGTTTTCAGCCTATTTTGGGGGTATGGAAGCATCCATAAA